TCAGTCACATCTCCAGGCCCCTCTGATATTACTCTTGCTTTCTATTTGAATTTTTATTCAAACAAAAATAGAAGATTTACTGTTATGCAAACTACTGCAATACTGTAATAATTGTACAAATAATGTCAACCCATTCTATGACTGCATATTAGAATGGCTAGTTGGACATTTATTGGACAATGACATCATTTGTTTACTTTTGAACATCGGCAAAAATCAAACATTTTCCCTACTTTGAGCTTCATTTCCAGGTTCTTTTTATAGTAAAACCAATCAAAATCACTCTATTTCTATAATATGTTTTCTATTCTATAAAATGAGACCAAGAAAACGAGAATACAGTCATAATTACTATACGAAAATAGACCACAAATTCGGCATTTTAATTAAAGAAATACGGTCGGAGTTTTTTTTTCTCATTATGCACTGTGTGCTCCAGGACTTTTATTATATGGTGCACACTGATCACACAGACCTATTCTCTCACATGTGGGCCTACCAGCTTTCTCCTGCTTGATTTGAAGCTGGTAGAATTTATGAGTATACTATATACGTCAAACACGGTACCTCGTAAGACGTATATATACGACCAAAACAGTCAAAGGATTAATCTTTTCACAGATAACCCTTATTGAGAGATGAAACTTAAAGCAATGTTTTAGTTCAGTTCATTGTTACTTGTGACTTGATAATGGTCCAGGATGGGCCAAAATTTTAAAGTTTCCTCTTTTAGCTTTACATTTTTTGTTAATTTATCTTGGATATCTACATGTATTTAATATTTTTAAGACTCTCTGCAAATTGTACACTACAGCCTCTCCTCACTTAGTGACATACTCGTTTACCAGTGACTCAGACTAACGACGGGCTCTCTGACCAGTATACATACCTAAATAATGTGTATTAGAGCTGAATTCCTCTATTCTCTTTATTACAATATACAGTAAACTATTGTATAAACATTTAAAAATACTATACAGAAATGTTATAAATGGTGCAGAGGTGACACTAAAACAATATCAAAGATGGTTAACACAAACCCACTACCAGTATGCTCCTCACTTAACAGCAAATTCATTTACCGACATGGTCTTAGGAATAGAACTCCATTAAGTGAGGAGAGGGTGTATTATAAATTCTTAATATTACATACTGCATTTGGTACACCATTTGAAATTTGACATTACCTCTAAAATTGTCTACCTAACAGGAGGTGGTGAAGCTAGAGTTGTTGTGCAAGCAGCTTCACGAGGCTAATGATGGCGTTCAGCGGCAAGAAGCAGAAAAAGCTCTGGTGGAGTTTCAATCTGGTCGAGGTGCTGCTACTCTGAGTCAGTGCCAGTTGCTCCTAGATAGAGCTCAGTCATCTTATTCTCAATATTTGGCAGCTACCACACTAACCAAGCTTGTGTCAAGAAACCCGTGCACGCTGTCACTGCAGCAGAGAATAGATATTCGTAAGTCTCATTTATGTTTTCTTTTATGCACTGTACAGGTTTCTCCCACTTTAGCATTCAGGTCCCCCACCACACTTACTCTCTCACTTCATTCAAAACTCCCTAAAGTTATCGCCCAAAATCTGTCTCTCCTCTACACTCCTCTCTTCTTCAGGTGCATAAGCACTTTGTTTAATTTGCTTTTCTCATCTACCTTTTATTTTAATCCACATAATCCTTGAATTTTTACAGTTATATTACCGTTTCCTTTCATGGCCGATCATTCGGCATTACCATTACTCCTTCCTTTGCTCTAACTCTCTTGGATACACCTGACCCAATCCCATTTATTTCTCCCCACTGAAAATCTACCTCCTTCAGCTTCTTTTTGTTTAGAGCTAAAGACATCCAGTATCTTTTCATTCGTAACATTCACACTCGTCTGTTTTTCATCTGCACTACATCCACATGCATTCAAACATCCCAACTTTAAAAGGTTGTTCGTTTTACATTTAGTAACTGATGCAGGTGAAGGGATTACTAGTCCCTTGCTCTTGGTTTTCTGGTAGTCTCTAATGACGCACATGGCTTACAGGGAAAGGATTCTTCTCCACTGTATAATTTTTAATTGTTTTTCTGGGGGTTTGGAAAATTATTTTTTATTTATTTTTTTTTTTTTTTCAGGAAATTATGTTCTGAATTACTTGGCAACTCGTCCTAAACTTGTTCACTATGTAACTCAAGGGTTAGTGGTGTTATTTGGCCGCATCACAAAGCTTGGCTGGTTTGATGGTCTTGACAAGGAAAAATGGGCATTCAGAAATGTTGTAGGTGATGTATCTCAGTTTCTTCAGGTAAGCGAGATGATGTACAGTACGTATTTTTTTTTATGTCATATAAGAAATTTGTTCTAAATTAATGAATTGAAAGAACAAAACTTTCATAAAATTACTTCAGCTGTCTGGTTACTCACTTGCAAAATTCATACATACAGTAATTAATTATTTAGTTGCAAAATTGCCCTTTTACTCAGGTTAGTGGTTTTTATTGCATAGGCTAACTTGTATATTCATGTTCTTTAAAAAAAATGGGATTAGAGTGTGAACTAAATATCCTGATTATTTGTACAGCAGAATTACTATATTATATTTGAATGGTTGATATAAGAAATTTGTTGTAAATTAATAATTGAAAAAAAAAACTTATAATATAGCAGTTGGCTCCTTCATGATATTTTCACAAAAGAATTAATTATTTTCAAGTTGCCTTTTTTTGTGTTTATATCTTGGTTTCTTAATTTAGTTTTTTTTTTTAATATAATATGATAGATTAGCATTGGAGAACCCCAAAACCTTATAATTAACGCATTACATAATAACATACATAATGGTTTGAAGAAATCGTTTGGATAGTAAAAATATATATATACATATTTAATAACATTTTTTAATTAATTTGCAAGATTCAGTGTACAGGCTATTGGAGCAGTGTTGGTGCAGCTGCTTGCCCAGTTGACTGCTGAAATGAACCAGATCTCAGAGTCTGATGCAAATAAATCTCTTACTAAACACCGCAAAATTGCAAGCTCATTCAGAGACACACAGCTTTATGATATCTTCCAGCTTTCCTGTACACTCCTCAGGACTGCCTTAGAGAATTCGAAGACCCTTAACTTCAGTGATGAGAGTCAGCATGGATTAATGACACATCTTCTCCGGTTAGGTAAGAGACCAAAAAAAAAAAAAATAAAATAATACGGGAGAAGGGAAGTCAGTGTCTTAAGAGTATCGTACATAGTTATGAATTTCATTCTCCCTTCTCTTCCAGAATTAATAGAAATTAGATATAGAATATTACCCCGGCCCTCATCTGTTATAATATAGGATTTTATTAGAGAATGTGATTTGTTTAATGTATGTTTTGCTTAACCCTTTGAGGGTTTCGGCCGTACTAGTACGGCTTACGACCCAGGGTTTTTGACGTACTAGTACGCCTAAATTCTAGCGCCCTCAAATCTAGTGGGAGAAAGCTGGTAGGCCTACATATGAAAGGATGGGTCTATGTGGTCAGTGTGCACAGTATAAAAAGAATCCTGCAGCACACAGTGCATAATGAGAAAAAAAAAACTTTGTTTTTTTGGAATAAAACAGCGACTTTGCACTGTATTTTCGTATGGTATTTATTGTTGTATTCTAGTTTTCTTGGTCTCATTTTATAGAATGGAAGACATATTACAGAAATTGAGATGATTTTGACTGGTTTTACAATGAAAAGTACCTTGAAATTGAGCTCAAAGTAGCAGAAATGTTCGATTTTTACCAAAGTTCAAAAGTAAACAAATCATGGCAAGCGTCCAATACACGTCAACTGGTGAGTCTGATATTCTTTTGCAAGTGCGCCAATATTATTTATACCATTTTTTACACTAATGCAGTAGTCTGCATAACAGTAAATCTTCTATTTTTTGTGAGAATAAAAATTCAAAGTGGAAAGCAAAAGAATGTAAGAGGGGCCTTGAGACGTGGCTAATGAACAAAGGAAATGTCATTTTAGTGCCAGGAATGTCTTTCTTGTTTATTCTGGACCCTATTCGGAAATTGGCATCTTCTGAAATTTGTGTGAAATTGGCAAAATTGCTAAATTCTGACCACTGTACTGGATAGTTGAAATTGGTAAATGGGTGGTTTCTTGCACTCATTCGATAGAAAAAACGGAGTTCTAGCGAAATATTCATGTTTTTTGTCGACTAGTGCAGTGGAATTGGCCGAAAATGGGGCTCAAAGTGGGCAAAATCACCGATGTGTAAACATCGCCGAGACTGCTAACTTCGTGAGAGCATAATTCCGTAAGTTTTCCATCAAATTTCATAATTTTGGTGTCATTATGATCGGGAAAAAGATTCTCTATCTTTTCATAAGAATTTTTTTTTTTTTTTTAAGTTTTGCCGACCCTGAGAACGAGTCTCGGAGAGGGCCTGTCGACCCTCAAAGGGTTAACAAATCATTATTTTCTAGGGGGTCCCTGTCTAGGTCCTTAAGCAGATGTATACCGTTAACTTTGTAATACAAAACTGTAATATAAATTTTTAACTTTAATGGTAATAAATATTTTATTGGTCTAATTTCAGCTCTAAACTGCCTTACATTTGACTTCATTGGTACTTCTGTGGATGAGAGCAGTGATGATTTGGGAACTGTTCAGATTCCTACAGCATGGAGACCTGCCTTTCTTGATTTTTCTACAGTTCAACTTTTCTTCGACCTCTATGCCTCCTTACCTGCTTCATTGTCACCTGTGGTAAGGTTTCACTATTTATGATATTTCGATCAATGTTCAATAATTTGATTTTTTAAATAATTTGATTTTGTTATGCATGTCATGCCTACATATTGTCGAGTACATATTTATTATTTAGCTAGTGATTGGATGTGGTCAGTAGGCCAAAAGAGCAGAATGAAAAAAAAAATAAAGTCTAGGAAAATTGGCAGATATAAAATTTGTGGGGTGAAATATGAGAAAACATTATTCTTTATCAAAACTCTCTTTCTTATACATGTTAGAAATTTCACCAAGAGCCACACAAATATAAAAAATAGACACTAAGAAGTAGCTTATTCACATTTGTAATTTCTCTACAACTTTATACTAGAATGGTATACAATATCGACAAGATGAAAATTTGACACATGCAACATCTGGGTATCTTTATTGTAGACTTTTTGCCATCCAGTGGCTTTATCAATACAGATTCTAGGACATAACTTGAAGACAGTAGAACTATATACAAAAGATGAAATAATCAGTCCCTCAGCCTTGGAGTTGGCATGAAGAACACTGTAGTCATCTTTTGAATATATATTCTACTGTCTTTAAGTTATGTCCTAGAATCTGTATTGATAAGGCCACTGGATGGCGAAACATCTACAGTAAATATATCCAGATGTTGCGCAAGTGTCTAACTTTCATCTTGTCGGTATTGTATGTAGTATACCATTCATGTACAGCTTGTCAGACACGGCAACATCATGGAATCTTAGTTCATAGGATATCTACATAACCTTCTTCACAGCTACTACAACTACTACTACCACCACTAACCCATCCCTTGGGTATGACGTACTTCCTACTTCCACATTTATAATAAAGATACCCAGATGTTGCACATTTGTCTAATTTTCAACTTTATACTATGGGACAGAATAGGCAAGGATGATTCACATGGCCCATAACTAAAGTTTGATTTCCTATAAGATGTCAAGTTAGCTATCAAGTTTTCCAAATTTGAATTTGCTTACATTGAAAAGAATACATATTCTTCACATTTGTAAACCTTAACACATTACCCTGCAGATGCATGTAAGCTTGAGATGCAAGCTGGGGATGACAGGCATAGTACTTAATGTGGAAAAAGACACGTATGTACAGTTAAGAACATTTATTAAATGTTCTGAACTGTACATAAATGTCTTTTCCACATCTTGTTGGTATCACCATACCATTTTTCATAGTACTTATTAAGTACTAAGGAAAATTATAATACCTGAAAGGTACAAGATAAAGTCAGAAGGATGAAATGGCCTGATGGGTAAGTGTAACTAGCCAGGTACTCTTATGGTTAATACTAACCTTCACACTGTTCATACAGAGCGATTTGCTTATGAGGGATAAACTCGTAGGTACTATTTTCGGATGCAGAGACTATGCCAAAATAATGAATTGTACAAGTGGAAGAAAACAAGAAACTAAAAGGACCTCAACAGATTAGAGGAATAGTTGAACAAGTGTCTAAATGATGAAACTGGCCACTGAGGAAAGGAGAGCAGACACTTCACCACCTAAGGGTGAAACTTAAGGGATCAAAAAAAGAAAAAGGAGTAATCATTACTCCAGTCTTATCTGAAATGCACTTATACAATATTGGCAATGTGTGCTAGGTTATTTAACATGAATCTTCAGAAATTTAAACAGACTTCCAGATCTCTACACTATGAGGTACCAGTCCTTGAGTATGCAGCACCTGCTTGGAACCCTCACCTATATAATTTAGACAAAGTGTATCTGAGAATGTTTAGAGGTGTACTTTATATTGTTGCCAGAGTAGATGCAGTGTGATTAAGAAATCTTAAATACTCTTGTGATGTAGACAAGGTAGATTTAGAACAAACTTTACTAGGGAAGGAGCCAGAACATGGGGACAGCATTGAAAACTGCACATACAACTGAGTTGTTACGGTACTGGAAAGCATTTCTTCAGTGTAATACTAATAAATAAGTTTAACAAACTAGACAATGTCTTAGTAGGATCTGATTTTATGCTGGAATTGAAATGTAAACGTGATAGCTAATTCGCACAACAATCAGAAGTAAAGTGCTCCAGTACTGGAGATGGCCTTATACTCCTCCTTTCAAGCTTAGTAGGTACAGTAGTTAGATTCATCATGACATTTACATAATCTGATATAGCTGTTCATGCACAAGCTGTGTAATCATTTAAAATAATGATGCATATAATGTTGGCTAATTTACATTGTAAAATAATTACTTATTCCTGTAATTTACATTGTAAAATAATTACTTAGTCCGGTAATAAAATGAAAATGTTTAATTTTTTTTCAGACATTATCATGCTTGGTTCAAATAGCCTCTGTGAGGCGAACACTTTTTAGCAATGAGGAACGAGCGAAGTTTCTCTCTCAACTAGTCAATGGTGTTAGGAATATACTACAAAATCCACAGGTTAGTTAAGTCTAATGGGTTTGTTTTAGTATGCACTTTTATAAAAAAAAAATTTAAATTAATTTTCAAAACTTAGTCATAATTTTCAAAACTGTGTTAAAATATTAGTGCTTTGTCAGTGCAGTTATTGAAATACTTATATATAGTATGTACATAAAGACTTGTTTCCACATGGCAGAATTTATTTACTGCTTTGTAATCAGAGTAGTTTTTATATAGATCTATGAAGGTAAAATAATGAATTAGGCTTTATTTTAGGGTTATATAACTTTTTAGCATGTTTAAACAGTGAATAATGGAAGCATCTCGGAGAAATGCATTGACCTATTTATTTGATAATTGTTAGTATCATTTTTTCTAATTATTGCCTTTTATAGGGACTGAGTGATCCCTCTAACTACCATGAATTCTGCCGATTATTGCTGCGACTGAAGAGCAACTATCAGTTGGGTGAGCTTGTGACGGTTGAACATTATCCAGATGCCATCCAACTGATAGCAAAGTTTACTGTAGAGTCCTTAAATATGTGGCAATTTGCACCAAACAGCGTTCACTACTTACTCTCCTTATGGCAACGCATGGTTGGATCTGTACCCTATATGAAGGTGTGTTTGGATAATTTTTATTTTGAATGTTCATTGAGGCATTTTTATGTATTGCATAACTGTACTTGTATTGCACTGTAAACAGGGTGTCTTGGGCTTTGTCACTTTGTTGTTTACCAAGACTTGGTTTTTGTTTACTACAACTATTTTTGTGATTTATTGACCTCATTTTATTAGTTATCACAGTATTGTTTCTTTTTTTGAGTTATCCACAAAACTTTGTAAGATTGGCATTGAAGATAACTCCAAAATGTGTAAATACAGCCTCTCCCCACTTAACAATGGAGTTCCTTTCCTAAGACCATGTTGTTAAACGAATTTGTCGCTGAGTGAGGAGCATACTGTAATGATAGTGGGTTTGTGTCAACCATCTTTGATATTGTTTTAATGTTACCGTTGCACTATTTATTACATTTCTGGTATATTTTTAAATGTTTATACAGTAGAGTTCTGTATATTGAATTAAACAGAATAGAGGAAATCAACTCTAATATACATTATTTAGGTATAAATGCTGGTCAGAGAGCCCATTGTAAGTCCGAGGTGTCAGTAAACGAGTACATCGCTAAGTGAGGAGAAGCTGTACTTCATAATGTGCATGTTTTGAAGAGGTCATGTTTGTCTAGTCTATTTAAATTGTTGCATGTTCTAATAGTGATGAATAATTATAAACCTGTGTTTACTTAAACACACTGTTACCAGAATGTTTCCTTACTTTTATCATTTTTCTTTGTATCTTTTAATTACTTCTAGCTATAGTTTTTACTAATTCTATCCTCGTTTGTTTTGTTTTCTCTCTAAACTGATATTTTTCTTTTCATTATTTAAAAATTATTTGTTTGCTTCATAACTTGTTACAATGTATTTAATATGTATTATTGCTTAACAGGCTACTGAACCACATCTCTTAGAAACCTATACACCAGAAGTTGTTCGTGCTTATGTATCTTCTCGGCTCGAGAGTGTGGGTGTGGTGCTTCGTGAAGGTTTGGATGATCCCCTAGATGACGTTACAGTCATTCAACAACAACTGGATCAGGTATGCAGTTTACTAATAATAAAACATATATGTATACTGCATGCATTCAAATATACATGCACAAAACACTGCACTTCAGTACTGTTCCGCATACACTACACATTGTATACTGCTACATGCAGCATTGTACTATATACTAGTTAATATAATACGCACTGCACTACTTTATTCACCATTTGATACTAAAATACAATTTATTTTTATTTTTTTATTATCACACTGGCCGATTCCCACCAAGGCAGGGTGGCCCGAAAAAGAAAAACTTTCACCATCATTCACTCCATCACTGTCTTGCCAGAAGGGTGCTTTACACTACAGTTTTTAAACTGCAACATTAACACCCCTCCTTCAGAGTGCAGGCACTGTACTTCCCATCTCCAGGACTCAAGTCCGGCCTGCCGGTTTCCCTGAACCCCTTCATAAATGTTACTTTGCTCACACTCCAACAGCACGTCAAGTATTAAAAACCATTTGTCTCCATTCACTCCTATCAAACATGCACACTCATGCCTGCGGAAGTCCAAGCCCCTCGCACACAAAACCTCCTTTAAAACCCCCTCTCTCCAACCTTCCTAGGCCGACCCCTACCCCGCCTTCCTTCCACTACAGACTGATACACTCTTGAAGTCATTCTGTTTCGCTCCATTCTCTCTACATGTCCGAACCACCTCAACAACCCTTCCTCAGCCCTCTGGACAACAGTTTTGGTAATCCCGCACCTCCTCCTAACTTCCAAACTACGAATTCTCCTGCATTATATTCACACCACACATTGCCCTCAGACATGACATCTCCACTGCCTCCAGCCTTCTCCTCGCTGCAACATTCATCACCCATGCTTCACACCCAGTATATTTCATTAAAATATTTTTTTTTTTTTTTCAACAAGTCGGTCGTCTCCCACCGAGGCAGGGTGAACCCAAAAAAAAGAAAGAAAATCCCCAAAAAGAAAATACTTTCATCATCATTCAACACTTTCACCACACTCACACATTATCACTGCTTTTGCAGAGGTGCTCAGAATATAACAGTTTAGAAGCATATACGTATAGAGATACACAACATATCCCTTCAAACTGCCAATATCCCAAACCCCTCCTTTAAAGTGCAGGCACTGTACTTCCCATTTCCAAGACTCAAGTCCGACTATATGAAAATAACCGGTTTCCCTGAATCCCTTCACTAAATATTACCCTGCTCACACTCCAACAGATCGTCAGGTCCCAAGTATCATTCGTCTCCAAATGAAAATATGTGATGCATTATACTCTACAGTGCATTTGGCACTTTACTACTGGTATAGGATGCTGTACACAGCCATGGCATTGTAATACAATATAGCAGTATATTGTACCGTACAGCACTTGACAATACAATATACAGTATTACACTGCACTCCATACACTATAGTGCACTATATCTCCAACTCGTTCAATTACTGTACTACTCTACTTCCTTCAGCTCTCTTCCCCATCCAAATTAAAAATACCTGGAGGCGGCAGAGAAACTGTTTATTATGATTATTTGTCAGAGGTTGGGTTTTATAAAATATACAGGAAAAAATTATAACCAAAAATGTATAACTCATTATAACAAACAATGTGAACTGGGAAAGGGGGAGAGGGAGTAGTAGCACAACAATTACTTCATAATGATAGGACCAACTGCAAAATCTTAGAAGCAGCCAGCACGACATCAAACAGAACAATGGAGTGCATATGTTAGCTAATTCCATTGCTCACATTACCTGCAATTCATAAAATAAACATAATGAACTGTGGAAATAAATGGTATAAAATACCGACACAATGGAAATATAAACACATATGCAGTATAATGTGATCCTTTATTGACTACGTTTCGCCCACACAGTGGGCTTTTTAAACTTGAAAAAGCCCACTGTGTGGGCGAAACATAGTCAATAAAGGATCACATTATACTGCATATGTGCTTATATTTCCATAATGAACTGTCCTGTCACTCTGGCCTCTCTCCTTACTTTGGCCCTCAGTATCTGGCCTCATCTTTAGACCTGATTTCACCTTTATAACTTGACTTCACCTTTATACCTTGACTTCACCTTTATATCTTGACTTTACCTTTATACCTTGACTGTACCTTTATACCTGGACTTCACCTTTATACCTGGACTTTACATTTATACCTGGACTTCACTTTTATACCTTGACCTCACCTTTATACCTGACCAAACCTTTGACTGTATAAGGCAGTGTATTTGCTTTTTTTCCTCGTCCAGAGAACATCATGAGTTGCTCTGGCATGCCAGGAATAGCTCAAATGGAGCAAATCTTTTTACCAGTGAGAACACGGACCCTGACACCAGAGCGTCGACGATAATTGTAGCTAACTGCTACACCACTGAAGAAGACTCACTGTGCTCTTGTCATTGAGCTGCCCCTGCCCTAGGACTGTAAGCAGTAGTCCACTTGACATGACAACTCACTGCACCCTTGTCATAGGGCTGCCCCTGCCACAGGGCTGTAAACAGTACTCCACTTGACACAAAGATGGCTCACCGTGCCTTTGTCATAGGTCTGTCCCCACCTGACAAGAATGCTCACCATGCCCCTGCCATAGGGCTGTAAATGGTGCATCACTTGTATAAACTTTGACACTCCTTCGGAGAAGACCCAGGTCAGGACCCTTCCTGGCAAAACCTACATGAACATGCTTTTTTTCTGTATATTTGATATAACCCAACCTTGGATGAAAGTTCATAATGAAAGGTTTCCTTGCTATCCAGGGAGATGTTGTCTTAAGAGCATAAAACAGTAGACAGTTAAATGTTTTGTACACAGCCAGGATTGATGGAGATTTAGCTTCCATTTGTTTATAATATCAACAATCAAGGAGCAGGAGTCTAGTAACCCCTTCTCTATAAATTACTAAATTTAAAAAGAGAAACTTTTGTTTTTCTTTTTGGGCCACCCTGCCTTGGTGGGATACGGCCGTTTTTTTTTTTTATTATTATCACACTGGCCGATTCCCACCAAGGCAGGGTGGCCCGAAAAAGAAAAACTTTCACCATCATTCACTCCATCACTGTCTTGCCAGAAGGGTGCTTTACATTACAGTTTTTAAACTGCAACATTAACACCCCTCCTTCAGAGTGCAGGCACTGTACTTCCCATCTCCAGGACTCTAGTCCGGCCTGCCGGTTTTCCTGAACCCCTTCATAAATGTTACTTTGCTCACACTCGAACAGCACGTCAAGTATTAAAAACCATTTGTCTCCATTCACTCCTATCAAACACGCTCACGCATGCCGGTTTGTTGAAAAAAAAAAAAATCGACAATCAATCCTTTTTTAATATAGGTAGTAGGTTGGTAGACAGCAACCACCCAGGGAGGTACTACCGTCCTGCCAAGTGAGTGTAAAACGAAGCCTGTGATTGTTTTACATGATGGTAGGATTGCTGATGTCTTTTGTCTGTCTCATAAATATGCAAGATTACAGGCATGTCTTGCTACTTCTACTTACACTTAGGTCACACTACACATACATGTACACATTTATTTATACACACTCATCTGAGTTTTCTTTGATTTTATCTTAATAGTTCTTGGTCTTATTAATTTTCCTTTTATATCCATGGGGATAGTGGAATAGAATCTTTCCTCCGTAAGCCATGCGTGTTGTAAAAGTCAACTAAAATGCCGGGAACATGGGCTAGTAACCCCTTTTCCTGTAAAGATTACTAAAAAGAATAAGAAGAAGAAAATTGTCAAAGTGGGAAGTCTGAATGTGCGTGGATGTTGTGCAGATGATAGAAAGAGATGATTGTGGATGTTATGAATGAGAAGAAGCTGGATGTCCTGGCTTTAAGTGAAACAAAGCTGAAGGGGGTGGGAGAGTTTTCAGTGGAGAGGAATAAATGGGATTAGGTCAGGGGTTTCAAATAGAGTTAGAGAGCTAAAGAAGGAGTAGCAATAATGTTGAAGGATAAGCTATGCAGGAAAAGAGGGACTATAAATGTATTAATTCAAGGATTATGTGGAGTAAAATAAAGATTGGATGTGAAAGTGGGTTATAATAAGCGTGTATGCACCTGGAGAAGAGAGAAGTGTAGAGGAAGAGAGAGATTTTGGGAAATGTTGAGTGAATGCGTGGGGAGTTTTGAATCAAGTGTGAGAGTAATGGTGGTTGGGGATTTCAATGCTAAAGTGGGTAAAAATGTTATGGAAGGAGTAGTAGGTAAATTTGGGGTGCCAGGGGTAAATGTAAATGGGGAGCCTTTAATTGAGCTATGTGTAGAAAGAAATTTGGTAATAAGTAATACATATTTTATGAAAAAAGAGGATAAATAAATATAAAAGGTATGATGTAGCACGTAATGAAAGTAGTTTATTAGATTATGTATTGGTGGATAAAAGGTTGATGGGTAGGCTCCAGGATGTACATGTTTATAGAGGGGCAACTGAATATCGGATCATTATTTAGTTGTAGCTACAGTTAGAGTAAGAGGTAGATGGGAAAAGAGGAAGGTGGCAACAACAAGTAAGAGGGAGGTGAAAGTGTATAAACTAAGGGAGGAGGAAGTTCGGGTGAGATATAAGCGACTATTGGCAGAAAGGTGGCTAGTGCAAAGATGAGTAGTGGGGGGGTTGAAGAGGGTTGGAATAGTTTTAAAAATGCAGTATTAGAATGTGGGCAGAAGTTTGTGGTTATAGGAGGGTGGGGGCAGAGGAAAGGAGGAGTGATTGGTGGAATGATGAAGTAAAGGGTGTGATAAAAGAGAAAAAGGTAGCTTATGAGAGGTTTTTACAAAGCAGAAGTGTTATAAGAAGAGCAGAGTATATGTGAGAGTAAAAGAAAGGTAAAGAGAGTGGTGAGAGAGTGCAAAAGGAGAGCAGATGATAGAGTGGGAGAGGCACTGTCAAGAAATTTTAAATGAAAACAAGAAAAAATTTTGGAGTGAGTTAAACAAAGTTAAGAAAGCCTAGGGAAAATATGGATTTGTCAGTTAAAAAACAGAGTAGGGGAGTTAGTAGATGGGGAGATGGAGGTATTGGGTAGATGGCGAGAATATTTTGAGGAACTTTTAAATGTTAAGGAAGAAACAGAGGCAGTAATTTCATGCACTGGTCAGGGAGGTATACCATCTTTTAGGAGTGAAGAAGAGCAGAATGTAAGTGTGGGGGAGGTACGTGAGGCATTACGTAAATGAAAGGGGTAAAGCAGCTGGAACTGATGGGATCATGACAGAAATGTTAAAAGCAGGGGGGATATAGTGTTGGAGTGGTTGGTACTTTGTTTAATAAATGTATGAAAGAGGGGAAGGTACCTAGGGATTGGCAGAGAGCATGTATAGTCCCTTTATATAAAGGGAAGGGGACAAAAGAGACTGTAAAAAATTATAGAGGAATAAGCTTACTGAGTATACCAGGAAAAGTGTACGGTAGGGTTATAATTGAAAGAATTAGAGGTAAGACAGAATGTAGGATTGCGGATGAGCAAGGAGGCTTTAGAGTGGGTAGGGGATGTGTAGATCAGGTGTTTACATTGAAGCATATATAGAACAGTAATTTAGATAAAGATAGGGAAGTTTTTATTGCATTTATGGATTTAGAAAAGGCATATATAGAGGGGATAGAGGAGCAATGTGGCAGATGTTGCAAGATATGGAATAGGTGTAAGTTTATTAAATGCTGTAAAGATTTTTTAATGAGGATAGTGAGGCTCAGGTTAGGGTGTGTAAAAAGGAGGGAGACTACTTCCCGGTAAAAGTAGGTCTTAGACAGGGATGTGTAATGTCACCATGGTTGTTTAATATATTTATAGAGGGGGTTGTAAAGGAAGAAAATGCTAGGGTGTTTGGGAGAGGGGGGGGATTAAATTAGGGGGAATCAAATTCAAAATGGGAATTGACACAGTTACTTTTGCTGATGAACTGTGCTTATGGGAGATTCTAAAGAAAAAATGAAAAGGGTTAGTGGATGAGTTTGGGAATGTGTAAAGGTAAATTTAAGTGAACATAGAAAAGAAAAGTGATGAGGGTGTAAAATGTTTGGAAAAAGAGAAATTGGATATCAAATTGGGGAGGAGGAGTATGGAAGAAGGAATGTTTTCAATACTTGGGAGTTGACGTGTCGGCGGATGGATTTATGAAGGATGAGGTTTTCATAGAATTGATGAGGGAAAAAAGGTGAGTGGTTTCGTTGAGGTATATGGGAGTCAAAAAACGTTATCTAAAGGAGGCAAGAAGGGTATGTATGAAAGTATAGTAGTACCCCAAAACTCTTATATGGGTGTGAAGCTTGGGTGGTAAAAAGCAGCAGCGAGGAGACGGTTGGAGGCAGTGGGGATGTCCTGTTTTAAGGGCAATGTGTGGTGTAAATATTATGCAGAAAATTTGGAGTGTGGAAATTAGGAGAAGGTGTGGAGTTAATAAAAGTATTAGTCAGAGGGGAGAGGAGGGTTGTTGAGGTGGTTTTTGGGCATTTAGAGAGAATGGATCAAAGTAGAATGACATGGAAAGCATATAAATCTATAGGGAAGGAAGGGGGGTAGGGGTCGCCTCGAAAGGGTTGGAGAGGGGGGTAAAGGAGGTTTTGTGGGTAAGGGGCTTGGACTTCCAGCAAGCGTGCGTGAGCCTGTTAGATAGGAGTGAATGGAGACGAATGGTACTTGGGACCTGACGATCTGTTGGAGTGTGAGCAGGGTAATAATTTAGTGAAGGGATTCAGGGAAACCGGTTATTTTCATATAGTCAGACTTGATCCTGGAAATGGAAGTACAAGCCTGCACTTTTTAAAAAAGGGGTTTGGGATATTGCATTTGGAGGGGTTTTTGTTATCTTTTTTGTGTATGTTTTAGACTGTTGTATTCTGAGCACCTCGCAAAACGTGATGTGTGCGAGTGGGTGAAAGTGTTAATGATGGTGAAAGAAATTTTTTTTTGGGGATTTTCTTTCTTTTTTGGTTCAAACCTGCCTCGGTGGGGGGACGGCCCCACTTTTTAAAAAAAAAAAAAAAAAAAAAATGTACATTCAATCGTATTATTTTTGCATATTGTTTTACATCCAGGAAAAGGATAACTAGCCTTGTTGTAAGCAGTTTAAGTGCTTTCTACTATATGCATGGCTACTGAGTAATGGTTGAGGTTTTAGAACTAAAGCAATAAGAAACAGTAAGGTAACAATAGGCATAAAATGAATGAAAGGATGAGAAATTTTAGATTTCCTAATACAGTATCTGAAAGTTCAGGAGACAAGGAAATGGAAAAGCTTGCAGTACAGTCAGTTTATAAGTTTTTTTTATCATGATTCCATTTTTCACCCACATGACTGGATCTAGCGGTAATTAATTTCCTAAGGCAATTACTGTCTTCCAATCTTTATTTCTCATAATGCTTTAAATTAGAGAAGACTGTGCAATACGAGCATAGCTCTACTGCTGTAATTATAAATAGGTATAGTAGCATACTTTAATTACACATGATTTGTTTTATCAACTTTTATAATTATTAGTAATGTATACAATTTGGAGATATGCATACTCTGTATTGCTGGGCATTTTTGTCTGTCACTGATTATAAAGATGTTGTTTCAGTTGTCTACAATAGGTCGGTGTGAGTATGCAAAAACATGTGCTTTGTTGGTGCAGCTGTTCGAGCAGACTGCTCAGCGTTACCAAGAGCTAATATCAACTCGCATGAACAGTCGGTCACAGCAACACTCTATGGAGGAAATTGCGATACTGGAAGGTACATCTTTTGCATTTGTATATCTGTAAATCTCAGTCTGTGAAGATAGTAGCCATGCACAAAATCTTCCTCAGGTATTTCATATGCCTTCAAGCCTTTTAAAATATACTTTCAGAAGTGCATACATTACCTAATAAAGGTTTTCACTTGTTGATGTAAAAAAAAAAAAAATTTGGGAATGGGGTAAACTTACTTTTAATCCTCAAAATTTGAGGGCAATTGTGTCATACACAAAACCTTGCACATCCCTTGAAATGTATTAGTCTGCATGGATTTGAAAGAATGCAGGAAAGTACTTGGATTGATTTATTAAATGTTTAATTGCTTCTTACAGAGTATTCAGTGATAGCACTGGATGTGACTTAAGTTATGGCATTGTATGTTTTTTAATGTGGAGACCTATCGTATCAGATTTGTGATAAGTATGATATTTTTTTATGATTTGGATATACCATGTAAAGAGCTTTTGTCTTTTTCCACATAAGGTCAGCTGACATGGTTGGTGTACATGATTGGGTCTGCAATTGGTGGTCGTGTATCGTTCAACACAAGTGATGATCATGATGCAATGGATGGGGAACTAGTATGTAGGTACGTAGTAGTGTGACTATTTTTTCATGCTCACTGAGGTGATTAAAGGGCTAGAGATGTATTTTGCTCCATCCTCTTATATTTCCAGACTACCTTAACCCTTTGGCTGTTTCGGTCATATATATACGTTTTACGAGCCAGTGTTTCTAACTTATTAATACTCCAAAATTCAAGCAGCTTTAGATGAAGCGGGATATAGCTGGTAGGCCCACATGTGAGAAAATGGGCCTGTGTGGTCAGTGTGCACGGTATAAGAAAAATCCTGCAGCACACAGTGCATAATGAGAAAAAAAAAAAATTTTTTTTTGGTTTTTAAAGGCCCTTTTATTTTTTCTTTAAATTTTTGGGGATTGTTTTTTCCATTTCAAAAAGAAACAATAAAAAAATGGGAAAATTTTTTTGTTTTAAAATAAAAACCTTTTAAATTTCTTAAATTAAAAATTTTTCTTTTCGGTTTTTGATAAAAAAATCCAATTTTTGTATAAATTAATGGGTTAATATTTAAAGCCGAAATATAACCAACAAAAAATGATTTTGTGCCAAAATAATCTTTTTTTTGGAAAAATTTTAAAATATAATAATTTAGCCGGGAACTGAAACGAAAGGAAAAATTTTTTTATGAAAAAATGGTTTTTATTTTGCCCTATTTGGGCACTTATTAAATTGGCCAAAAAGGGGACTCAAATGGGGAAATTGCAGTTTTGTATTGTCAAGAAGATTGGAGAGCAATCGTAATTTTACAAAAATCCCCTTTTGGTGTCATACCATCGGAAAATTTATCATTTTTAAAAAATTTTTTTTTTTTGTGAAGAGAGAGACTCAAAAGGGGTAGAGTAACGGTTAAAGTCCCCCCTTCTGATAATCTTTTAGTAAACCCACATCCAAATTAAATTAGATTCCTAAATATTCCTTACACCTTTGTAAAATTATAAAAAAAGATTTATAGATAGTTTTAGACAAACCCCTTTTTTACTTGCAAGGAGGGAAACTAAATGGATTGTTTACATAGGAGATAAATCCTTTGTCTGCTCATAATATGAAATTCGGGTTTTGTAACCACAACTTATCCATAAACTTTCAATGTCCATTTATTTATCACATCATCTTGCTTTTACTTATTTTATTTAAAAGTTTTGGCTAAATTTTCTTTTATCGGGGAAATGATAAATCTTTCCCCCGTAAATGTTTGTAAAAGTGAATAAATTGCGGAAAGGTTTCCCTTTTCTGATCTAAAAAAATAAGAAAAAAATTGTAAGTTGGTCTGATTGGGGAATGGTTAAAAGATAAGAAGGAGTTGGATTTTTTGTGGAAAAATTATTCCGGGCTTTAAGTGAAAAGTTGAAGGGGTGGGAGAGTGTTAGTGGAGGGGAATAAATGATTGGTTGGGGTTAAATAAGTTGGTAAGAAGGGAAAAGTGAAGGATAAGTTTGGAGGAAAAAATTAAAAAATTAAAATTTAAGGTTTGAATTTTAAAAAAAGATTTTGGAGAAAAAGGGTTTTTTAAAAAAGGTGGTTTTAGGAAAAAATTTGAGGGAAAGGTTTTGGGGAAATTTTGGGAAAGGGTGGGGATTTTGGGAAACATTTAGAGGAGGGTTGGGGTTTTAAAAAAGGGAAAAATTTTGGGGGGGGAATTTAAAAAAGGGGGGGGGGGGGGGGGGGGGGGGGGGGGGGGGGGGGGGGGGGGGGGGGGGGGGGGGGGGGGGGGGGGGGGGGGGGGGGGGGGGGGGGGGGGGGGGGGGGGGGGGGGGGGGGGGGGGGGGGGGGGGGGGGGGGGGGGGGGGGGGGGGGGGGGGGGGGGGGGGGGGGGGGGGGGGGGGGGGGGGGGGGGGGGGGGGGGGGGGGGGGGGGGGGGGGGGGGGGGGGGGGGGGGGGGGGGGGGGGGGGGGGGGGGGGGGGGGGGGGGGGGGGGGGGGGGGGGGGGGGGGGGGGGGGGGGGGGGGGGGGGGGGGTTTTTTTTTTTTTTTTTTTTTTTTTTTTTTTTTTTTTTTTTTTTTTTTTTTTTTTTTTTTTTTTTTTTTTTTTTTTTTTTTTTTTTTTTTTTTTTTTTTTTTTTTTTTTTTTTTTTTTTTTTTTTTTTTTTTTTTTTTTTTTTTTTTTTTTTTTTTTTTTTTTTTTTTTTTTTTTTTTTTTTTTTTTTTTTTTTTTTTTTTTTTTTTTTTTTTTTTTTTTTTTTTTTTTTTTTTTTTTTTTTTTTTTTTTTTTTTTTTTTTTTTGAAGGAAAGGGGGACAAATTCCCGGTAAAAGTAGGTCTTTGACAGGGATGTGTAATGTCACCATGGTTGTTTAATATATTTATAGATGGGGTTGTAAAGGAAGTAAATGCTAGGGTGTTTGGGAGAGGGGTGGGATTAATTATGGGGAATCAAATTCAAAATGGGAAAATTGACACAGTTACTTTTTGCTGAAGATACCCGTGCTTATGGGAGATTCTAAAGAAAAAATTGCAAAGGTTAGTGGATGAGTTTGGGAATGTGTGTAAAGGGAGAAAGTTGAAAGTGAACATAGAAAAAAGTAAGGTGTGAGGGTGCAAATGATTTAGATAAAGAAAAATTGGATATCAAATTGGGGAGGAGGAGTATGGAAAAAGTGAATGTTTTCAGATACTTGGGGGTTGACTGTCGGCGGATGGATTTATGAAGGATGAGGTTAATCATAGAATTGATGAGGGAAAAAGGTGAGTGGTGCGTTGAGGTATATGTGGAGTCAAAAACGTTATCTATGGAGGCAAAGAAGGGAATGTATGAAAGTATAGTAGTTTCCAACACTCTTATATGGGTGGGGAAGCTTGGTGGTAAATGCAGCACGAGGAGACGGTTGGAGGCAGCGGAGATGTCCTTTTAAGGGCAATGTGTGGGTGTAAATATTATTCAGAAAATTCGGAGTGGGAAATTAGGAGAAGGTTTTGAGTTAATAAAAGTATTAGTCAGAGGGCAGAAGAGGGGTTGTTGAGGTGGTTGGTCATTAAGAGAATGGGTCACAGTAGAATGACATGGGAAAACATATAAATCTATAGGGGAAGGAAGGCGGGGTAGGGGTCGTCCCCGAAAGGGTTGGAGAGAGGGGGTAAAAGGGGGTTTTTTTGGGTAAGGGGCTTGGACTTCCAGCAAGCGTTCGTGAGCGTGTTAGATAGGAGTGAATGGAGACGAATGGTACTTGGGACCTACGATCAGTTGGAGTGTGAGCAGGGTAATATTTAGTGAAGGGATTCAGGGAAACCGTTTATTTTCATATAGTCGGACTTGAGTCCTGGAAATGGGAAAATACAATGCCTGCACTTAAAGGAGGGGTTTGGGATATTGGCAGTTTGGAGGGATATGTTGTGTATCTTTATATGTTTATGCTTCTAGACTGTTGTATTCTGAGCACCTCTGCAAAAACAGTGATAATGTGCGAGTGTGGTGAAAGTGTTGAATGATGATGAAAGTATTTTCTTTTTGGGGATTTTCTTTCTTTTTTGGGTCACCCTGCCTCGGTGGGAGACGGCCGACTTGTTGAAAAAAAAAAAAAAAAAAAATATAAGATTAGGGAGCAAGGGGCTAGTAACCCTTCTCCTGTATATATTACCAATTGTAAAAGGAGAAACTTTCGTTTTTCCTTTTGGGCCACCCTGCCTCAGTGGGATATGGCTGGCTTGTTGAAGGAAGAAGATATATAAGATTAGGAGGATGTGTGGGATTACTAAAACTATTATCCAGAGAGCTGAAGAAGGGTTGTTGAGGTGGTTCAGACATGTAGAGAGGGTGGAATGAAATAGAATGACTTTGAGAGTGTATAAATCTGTAATGGAGAGAAGGAGGGTTAAGGGTTGACCTAGGAAAGGTTGGAGGGAGAGTGTAAAGGAGGTTTTGTGTGCGAGGGGCTTGGACTTCCAGCAAGCATGCGTGAGCGTGTTAGATAGCGAATGGAGACAAATGATTTTTAGGACTTGACGTGCTGTTGGAGTGTGAACAAGGTAACATTTATGAAGGGATTCAGGTACACTGGCAGGTTGGACTTGAGTCCTGGAGATGGGAAGTACAGTGCCTACACTCTGAAGGAGGGGTGCTAATGTTGCAGTTTTATAACTGTAGTGTAAGCACGCTTCTGGCAAGCAAAACAGTGCTAGTGACTGATGATGAAAGTTTTTTCTTTTCAGGCCACCCTTCCTTGGGGAAAACGGCTGATGTGTTAATAATAATAATAAATTACTGGTTATCTCCCACTGAGGTAGGGTGACCTGAAAAAGAAACACTTACCATCATTCACTCTGTCACTATCTTGCCAGAGGCACATTGATAGATACTACAGTTCAGATGTCCCTCCAAACTGCAGATATTCCCATGTCTCCTTCAGAATGCAGGCAGTGTACTTACCACCTCTAGAACTCAAGTCCAGCTAACCATTTTTCCTGATTCCCTTCACAAAATGTTCCCTTGCTCACACTCCAACAGCTCAAGCCCCAAAAACATTTGCCTCTCATCACTCTTTAACATGCTCACACATGCCTGCTGGATGTCCAAGCCCCTTGCACACAAAACCTCCACCATCCCTGAACACAAACACACACACACACACACACACACACACACACACACACACACACACACACCACACGCACACGACACACGCACACGCACACGCAACACACACACGTGCACACACACGCACACACGCGCACACAGACGCACACACGCACACAAACACACAAACACACATGCACACAAACACACATGCACACAAACACACATGCACACAAACATGCACACAAACACACATGCACACAAACACACATGCACACAAACACATGCACACACACACACATGTACACACACATGCACACACACATGCGCACACACACATGCACACACACACATGCACACACACATGCGCACACACACACATGCACACACACATGCATGCACACACATGCACACACACACATGCACACACACACACACACACACACACACACACACACACACACACACACACACATGCACACACACACAGTAGGGACAGCG